TCCCAAACATTGTCAAAATGCAGACTGATCTTTCTAATCATGTCAAACTTTTGCATTTATACGTGAAATATATGACATCTTTCCTACTGATGCTATGAGTGGGTTTGTTGAAAAATGTGCTTAAAATGACAATACTAGAGAAAACACAAACATCTACCAGGTCAACTGAGACAAGCGCTACAAAATAAATTAGAAAAATTAGTTCTGCAAAATTAAAGAAATACAATCATCCAGCTTGACTGACATGTTTCAAAACTTGGGTAAGCATTTATTATGCAACGCTTACCATCAAGCGGGTAATACAGAAATCTGACCTCCTCATTTCCACTTTGTATAATCTTTGTATAATATGCATGTGCTGCATCGCCCTCTCAGAAGGTATGCAGCCCATGCCAATTTCTTGACAGTAATTCATAAATTATTTATTAAACTGCAGCATTAACAGTTGAGATTAAACTTCAAGCCAAGTTCTCAGATGTGTAGGAGGAAGTTTTAACCTGGCACACGGAGTAGGCAAAATGTTAAGTTATTGATTAACGTTGCGAATACATTTCAGAAAATCTAGTTTAAGTTGTATAAAAATATTCCATTTGGAGACTGAGAATGAAACAAGAGAAAACTACAAGTGACAATCTGTTCATGGCTCGGTTGAGGGCAGAGATCCAGTGGTGCACTTTGAAGGTTGTTGGCTGATATTCAGAGTTTAATAAAAGAAATTAAAGTTAATAGATATTGAGATTTCTGTATTAAAAGGTTGGGGAAGGATACTACAAGAAGTCAAACTACACCTCACAGATATTAGCAGCATCAAACTTTTTTAAAGTGCTATATTTTCCACAAACCTGCACCGACCTTGGTATAACTTTACTATTACAGGTTTTCAAAATAATCTATTTGATTCGATTTATCATTTCAACAGTGAAGTACAGCAATGTGTTGCTTTGAGATGCTTTAATCTGAAAAGGCAAAAAGTTACGAAACCACTTGCTGCCATTTAGTCATCCTATATTTCACAGAAAATGTCTTACAGTGCCCATGCGAGCAAATGGGGCCCAAGGCTTAAACGACACTGCCACACTGCACTAAAACCTTAAGATGATTAGTGATATTCTTAAAACCTAGCCCACTGATAATGTGTTTAAAGAAGCGATACGGCTTTTCCGAGCTTTGAGTTCAAAGTCTGAGAAGCATGGGGTCAGAATGCCAATGGGCTAAACAAAGAGTAGCCAAAATGGGCTTTGAGGGATTTGAAACTTAGGCCCCTGAAGCCTTTTGATCAAAACAGAGCTACGGCCATTGAAATACTAAGTATCAAGTGCCTGCATGGGATTGTGCTGCTGCCAGAGAATGGTGGGATTCGCATGTAGGATGAGAAACTTTATGTTCAATAACAGATAAAAACGATCAGTATAGTTGGAGACTATGTACATAAACTATTTTATTACAGTTATTCTTAGGGTTCCATCAGTATTGTTTGTCACCCATGGGCACCAACACTAACCAAAGTTTTCCCAAACCAAAATTCAAATATATTTTTTGACATTTCTAGTTGTGCAGTATGAGTACAATACAACTGCTATATGTAAAATATACATACTACTCATACTATATTAAAAGCAGTCTTTATTGTTAAACCAGAAAACATATTGACATCTTTAATTACAAACCAATTTATGGTTTAATGTTTGGATAATCCCTTTTTTTCCATAATCATTTCTATTTCATAACATATGAAGAATAAATAAGGTGGCAAAAATATTTCTCACACCATCTGTTTTAAGCATGATGATATGTAACTGGAAATATTCAACTAGCTCATTAGTTTTACTCTCGGTGACTATTTGAGCATATGTTCCTGATGAATCAAGAAAAAAAAAAGGAGGTTCAAACTCAAACTTGAACATATTTCCTCATCTTGATCAACTCTGAGCAATTACTGGAGCATGTGTACATCTTATTCTAATAATAAATCCATTAACTCCAAAAGAATCCAACATTGAAAATCACCACATTGACAACAAGGCTAACAATGCAACCTGTCCCAATGTACAGAGCAATTAATGCATCTCTTTTCCCCCCTTCTAATGTCAAGATACCGGAACTCGTTATATAAAAATTAGCAAATGATCTAAAATCTATTTCAATCACAAACTCAATTAAGTGTGTTTATCATCATCCTGGCAGTTTTAATGCAATACCTCTAGGCAGCTACATCAACAACTGAAGGGAACCATGTGAAGAACATGTAATGGAGAACATGATCAAATTGAAGGAATTTCAATCAGGCTCTCAAATGTTTCTTTGTGGCACAGGTGGTTAGCGCTACTATAAGTGTTTAGCATATTTAAAAAACTATCAGCACGTTTCAGGTCCAAAAGGTGCATGATGGCTCATACAGTGTGGTTGTTGTATTACAACAACACACACAATGCAGTGAGACTGGCCACAACTGAAGGACATGCAAGTGCAGAACATGGCACAACATGTACTTTATGTTTGATGATACTTAAAATATGAGTGAATCAATGCCTTCCCCTACTTCTGCTCAGTTAAGTGTGGTATCAGGCACATTATCAGTGCCCTGTTTGCACGTAACTGAACAAAGCACCATTATGCTCGCAGGCCTATCAGTTGCGGTTTACAACACTCACCTTAAATGCCATCTGGAGATATTCACGTTTACTCTGTCTGAGAGGCTTCATGGGACCAACATGCAATACGATGTGGTGAGTGTGACGCAGATAGAAGGGAAGACAAACATTCATTAACCATTAATCTGCCGACAGTTTTCATGAAACTTGTCAATTGTGACTTCCGGGAGCACAAGGTTACACTTAATGACTTGATTGGTCCAACAAACAGTTCAAAACCCAAAGAGATTCTCTTTACTAAAGATTAAGATGGGTGCAGCAGCAGGTTATCATATTTTTAGAAGCTAAAACCATCAAGTGTGTAAGATTTTTGCTAGGAAATAAACTTTAACAATTCATCTTTTACCATCTCATCTATTTTCTGTCCACTCATTGACTAATATTTGTAGCTGAAGAGTTGAAATTAACTCGAAATATATATTGATGTGCACGAAACTAAAATATCGCATAGATAATTTTACTCAAAGTATATCACAGTACAAAAGAAGGGAAAAATACCATGGTTACATGGGTGGAAGTGGAGCAGCCTTGAACGTTCGTTATCACCTTCTCTATACAAATCTTCATTGTCAGCCAAACTACAATATAACTGACATATATCCACATTAATACTTAGATTTTTTTCTCCCCTGCCCATCTCCCCCCTCCTTCAGTCTGTAAGTATTTACACTAATCATTTTCACTATGTAGATGAACATATATCAGGAACAAAAACTCAGTCCATTATTTAGTCCATTACCACTGACAGATGCTGCCAGATGACACAAAGACGTGGGATGCACAAAATATAATAGGCATCTTGTTTTAATTGTACACATTTTCTGTCCCTTTTTTTTAAGGTGACAGGGCCATTACTCCAAAGTCACCACTTATCAGCGGTATCGCTGAGGATTAATGGTTTCACTTGTGCTAGTGAGAAATGTTTAAGTTGTCCTGATTATCAGTGCTAGAAAAAGAATAATGGTTATTTGTCATTGTGTTAAGCAGTTGGAGGACTAATCTAACAAAACACTCAGTTAAGAATGTGATTAACCCTTTCTGCTGGGACTGAGTAGGACGTGTGTTGGACTGTGCACAGCAATAAAGACAAATAAATACAAGGTTGCCCACAGGAGAGCTGTGCCACACAGATTCATATCAGAATAATCAGCAGCTATAATATTGTGTTAGAGGTACAAAAAATGTCCAAATTAAATGAGCAAAGGCTAAAAAAACAGTCACATTGCTTTAATGCCTTCTGACCCCAATGTGATATTCTATATATTGTATATTCTTTTCAATATATTAAATATTATTTCCATTGGTTTGGTGCAGAATTCAAACTACGACATGGTGAGATGACAATGACCTACAGGTTAAAAATGAAAAAGTGTCCTCTTTACATAGAAACAAATGATATAAAGCTTTAAAAAACAGAAAGCAGCAATGACCTTGGAGACAATCAATAAGGAGCTTACAGCCAAAAAACCCACCAAAAAGAAAATGGAAAAAAATAGGCCTCCAAAATGTTCGAGTGAAAATCCAAAGCCACTAATATCAAATCTGAACAATACACAAAAAGACAATAAAGACAAACAGTGATGGCAGTTTAAACATTTAGAATCTAAATTTAAATTGAGACTTTGTTTGCAACAACAGCAATTACCACCATCACTAGCTGCCATACAACCCATTTAACACATTTGTCTGGTGGTGGATTTTTTTTCCTCCTGCAGTAAAGTCCCTGAAGCTTTTGTACTGGTTGTGCAGGCTTGTTCCTGCAGCCCCAGTAATCTACTACATTATTTTCCTTGTCTGTCACCTTTATAGTATCTATTAGCCACTCTCTGCTATCTGTTTGTGGAGCATTTTCCCTTCCTTTTCCCCATGAATGTTTTATATATTGGGGGGAGAATGATTGTTCTTTCGCAATGAGGCCAGCGCATGGCCTCAGTAAGACAAATTGCTCCAGAACGTCTAAATGGCAGTCAATGATAACTCATTGGAAGGAGAGTAAGTGACTTCCAATGGAGTGGATAGGGGACAGAGAATAATGGCAGAGCACAGGTGAAAAATAGATGTTTGGCTCGGTGTAATTACTCCATTAGGGGGCTCTCTGTTAATCTAGCAAACCACAGCAAGTGTTTTTACAGCGATGAGGAGGTGATGGGCGAAAATGACTGCGACTGGACAGAGAGGAGCCCCACTACCTCCCCAATCACAACACACACTATGAAGTGTTTACTAATGGACAAATGTACTCTCTGTCTACGCTCTCCGCTGCATCCCACATGTGCTGCTCCAGTTTCAAGTTAAGTGCGGTGATAGATGTATTGACGAAGTTCATCACGGAGCCGACATATTAATTACCTGCAATATGGTTCCATGCGCTCAGAGTGCTTTAACCTCCTCTGTCTCAATGGTGTACCAGGGGGTGGATCAGCTGTGAGCCTGTTAAACATGAAAATCTGGGTTAGAACAAAAAAAAGGGGGACAAAGGAAAAGCCCACCCGCTGGAAATCAACACCCCCATTCTGCTGATTTCCAGACAAACATAATGATAACAATTTTTTGACCATTTGGTGTCTGCTGCTTGTGCCTGTGGCAATCTAGACAAAAGAAGCCTGGAAAAAATGGACCAATATGGTCTTAAGAGTTATTCTGACCACACAATCTGTTTTTCTTAAGTCAACTTTTAAAACACTGCTATGAGCACTGCCCACAGCTTTATCACTGAAGCTCAGATTGACCTTGTATTCACCTTTTTACCATCTCCCATCTGTTTAGGTTCCACCCTAGAATCCATCCCAGTTGGCTGTAGGCCCACTTTGCATCGGGCTTTCTCAGCGGAACCCTCAACAAAACCCTGTAGGAGCGGGATAATAAAAAAAAATAAAAAAAGACTTTGTGTTCGGCCTGTTTCAGAGAAATTTCAGCTTGCAACTCTGCGTTTTCTTTCCAGGCTCGACAAGCTCGCTGGGTCTTTTCAGGCCGTTTCCCCTGTGCAACATAAAGAAAAGATTTGGCCTTGTTTTACTGTAGCCCCTCACTTGACTTGAATCAGTGGAGTCCTGCAGCACACAGCAGCGTTGAGAGGATCTGAATCATATGGTCAATTCTGCAGTGTTTTAAAAAAAAAAAAAATTTTAGGGTTTATCAGGAAAACACCCACTTATATATAAACAAAACAAGTGGTTACATTTAAAGGAAATGAATCCATTCTTGTTTCTTTTAATGACTACACACTTATATTTAATTGTGCATTAACTTAAAGAGAATTCAAGCTGTACACATATCTTCATCCCTGATTGGAGGCCTGCTCATACAGCCCCTCACAGCAGCTCATTACAGGGTTAAAGTGACCTTCACCTGGATTAAAAGCAGCCATCAGCAGGTGTACACAGCTCATAACACACAAAGGCACCAACAGGGGGAAATACAAGGCGTCCAGCTGGACACTTTTCACTGCCTCTTCCCCCGTGATAATAAAAAAGGCTACAGGTTGTGGTGAGTGGACTTCAAATGCTAAGGACAGCGAGGAGGTGCCATTATCACTCAGCGCTGAAAACGAGCACGGTGACCCGATTAAAGCGAGAATTTCTGGGTCACGGTTTTGTTTTTCAATGCTTCGTTTGTCCATCGATAGTGACACGGACCGTGGCTCGCACCTACCTGTAATATTATCTCCCTAAAAGTCGTGCTTCAGCCCGGGAGGAGGGGGGAGGTGGGTGGCCTTGTGACTGTAACCCGACACGGGCAGCGAGGGAGCGGGTTCGCCTGCAGCGTGCAGCGGGGAGGAAGCGGCGGATGTCAGGCGGTGGAAGTTGCGGGCTGCGGCGCCGCTCAGTGGCCGCTCCGGTACCTGGAGCTCCCGCTCCACCGTGCACAGTGCGTGCGTGCGCTTGTGCTCGCGCATCTGTGTGTGTGTGTGTGGCAAATAAACCAAGTGCTCAAACCATAAACTTTGGTTCTGTGGATGTTTTATTTTACTTTAATTTGTTTTGTTTTTTGAAAGACTAAACTTTGAATGTGAGAAAACATTCTGAAGGGCACACTATCATCCGTGTGTGTGTGTGTGTGTGTGTGTGTGTGTGTGTGTGTGTGTGTGTTATTTTACAACTGAACACATAGATGAATAAATCCATCAAACATCATTTGTGTAGAATCTGACATGCACATCAGAGATGTTTCAAAGTCTTTCTTGACTGACTGATTAACCAGGAATAAGACATTTTAAAGAATGCTTACAATGAAAAACCATAGGATAGATTTTAAAAACTGTAATAATAATAAAAACAAGAAACATTCAGAAAACTTTCAAATAAATGCAGTAAGAAAAAATACGCGAATAAAATGGGATAAAAACACGTACCAATAATATTAATGGGTGGATAACATAGAATAAAATTTAGATGCAATATGTCTAAACCTGAAGAGAGTTTTCACAGATATCGCGGGTATATAAGCACTCTAGCAGCTAGAGGAGCAAATGGAAACTAAAAGCTGCTTCACCAAGGGGTTTTGTCTTGCACGTACAGCAAACTGATTCCAATCAGAGAACCTGCAGAGCTGTACTGGTTCATACACAGTGAGCATGTGAGACTTGAAAACAAGTTAAAGATCTTATCATGGTTGGTGTTCAGGTTTTTTGGTCTATTGAGTGTCCTCACTTGTAAAAGAAAGAGGATCTTTGCACACTAACACACAACTTCAGACCGTGTGCTCTATATTCTGTCACTATTTAGAGATTATAAATTATAATAGCTGGACCAATGTATAGGCCTTTTTCAGGAAAACCAATCTCAGTCTGACCCACAAATCATACACACAGTAAAATTCAAGTGCTACTAAGAGTACCAACTAATACACAAAAAAACTGCGGACTTACACATTATATCTCACCTGAGCTAAAAACTGGTGAGTTTGTGTCTTTGGCCTTTGGTGTTAAGCAACAAACAAGTTCACAGTGTCTGTGGTCCAGCCTTCTCGGGGCTTCCTTTGCATCAGACACACACGCCCTTCATCTAATGCTAATGTAGTACAAAAAAAAGATATCCAGCTTTAAAGACATGGCAGTCAGTTAAAAGAAGGCTGTGCTTAGTGTTTGAAGCCATAAATGTGACAGAAGACTTCAAGAGGAAGACCCAAGACTGGCAGTCTAAAGATGAGTGAGAGGCAGACAGGCAACATGTTTTTTTCCCATCCAGAGGGATATTCTGTGGCCAAGCTTGATTATTAGAGATGAAGGACAGGCTGAGAGGATGTGGGATTGTTAAATCCTTGAATCCTTTCACCAAAGCCCCCTCCTATAACATTCTTCTGCACTCCATCTCTCTGCATTTATGACGCGCCCTTGATTTTCCTCTCTTTTCTTTTTAAGGCTGAATGAAATTCAGATTCACTGATGATATGCAAAAAAGCAGGGGAGAAATATGGAAATACAATTTGGCACTCCACAGGATCCAAACTTAAGCATTTAGGAATAATATTGTGATATAAATTTGTAAAGTTTATATTCCAAAACCAAAATAAACCTTGTGCAGTTTGACTGGATTTCAAACATTGGCAGGAATTCACAGGCTCATCCCACTAATAGTGAATCACTACACTATACATGTAGACAGCACTTCAACTGTCTATGGTGTTCTGTGAAACCCTGGCTGTGGATTCAAAACCTCTGCTCGCCTCGCTAAGAGAGGCTGTGCTTCATTTGATGCCCTGTCCATTATTGCCAGCATATTTGAAAAGTGCTAAGCCTTGAAACGAGTCCCGTATTATTTCAGGCTGGACTGAATATTTCACAGCAGGGGGCAGAAAATGAGACCTTCCCTCAAGAGACTGCCTGCAGTGCATTCTTCATGGTGCAGCAATCGGAAGGTCTAATACTGAGCAAAACACTTTTGAGCAAACAATTATATATTTATCTGCCACACTTGATGTGAGATTTTTCTTTATATCTTTCATGTGTGTGCGGTCGTACAGGAGAAGGGAAAAAGGGAAAAAAATTGAGTGATACTGTAAAAACGGAGGGTCCTCTGGTTTTGTGGTTTCCAAGATTGGTATCAGCACACACACATCAGGGTATGGTGAGTAATCGGCGACCCTTAAAATAAGGTGTTTTATCACCACCTCAGGAGCAGGAATTCCAAGGAAACTGAAGATCCCTTTTGAGTTACACCCAGAATATAACAGCAGCAGCGGGCTAAAAACAGAACGCTAACCAGATTGATGCTTGAGTCACCTGTGTCTGGTTGAAATCGGATCCCGTACTGTGAGACTCTAGCCAACAACACTGTCTGTGTTCTGGTGCATCTGGTTCCATAAATGTGTGAGAGAGTAGACAGCGGACTCAGCTGTGCGCTGCTAACAATGCCGTCTTTTGACTGATTCAGGAGCGCCTTGTTGAAGTAGCTTCTAAAATGCTCGCAGGCACAGTATTCATGGGTTCAAGCGAGGCAAGGAAAGTTCCTGAGAAAGCTATCACCCTTACTAGAAAAAAAATGAACTTAAGGAACATATGTAGGTGGGTTATAGTCACCCACTCAATCTGCCCTCTGCATATTTTTCATTACTGCTTGAATCATTGCTGTAGTTTTTTACTCTTTATCACAAGCAATAAAACAATATATTCGGAAATCCACTTTGGTCAAAAAGGAATCTCTGTGTCTTTTTTTTATTTTTTTTATTAACCACCCAGAATATATATTTTATCCTTATTGACCTTTGATTTTGATCATCCATTTTTAAATTCTGAAATTTTTATCAAACTAAAAATGCCCACCCATTGCAATTTAAAGGTGACATATAAAATATGATTCAGTTTTATTTCATAATATTAAAAAAAAAAACTCAATTTGCTCCTAAAGGAAGATTTTCTACGGGAAGAAAGTCAAACAACAAAGCTTTGCTTAATCATTGAAACTTCAGCTGGCAGTGACCTTTGGGAAGGATCCATATCTCTGTTCCTGGAAGAAATGATGTGGATGGCAAGCAGTTGTGTCCTTTGTGTTTTGTGAAGATATTGAGTGTTTGAAGTGTTAACACTGACACTAAGCCTTTGGGGCGAGCAGGCGAAAGAAACATGTCACACAATAGGATGGGACTTGGATCTTTGCTGCCCCTCCTCTGACCTCTGACCGTGACTGGTTTTTCAGGGTTGCTGCAGCCCAGGCTCCTTAGGGGCAGTGTCTGCGTGGATCATATCATCACAATGTGCGGAAATAACAATAATAATGATAAAAAAATATTCTGTATTTCCAGTGCACTTTGCAAACTTGCAAAGGGCTTCTGACAGGGAAGCAATTTAAAAAAAAATTACGTTGTAGTGTTGCAACAGGGCAGCGAATTAAAAGATAGAAGTAGAACCAATTCAGCGATTTAAGATAAAAAAAACTATAACACGGGGATGTAAACAGAATATAATGGTAAAAATAAAGTAAAAATTCTAATGTATAGTTGGGATAGACTCACAGATTAAAATGCCCTTTTAGAAGAAATTTCAAAGATGTCACTGACTCGGCCGATTTTATTTCCTCAGGCAGGTCATGCCAGAGCCTCGGAGCACCGACTGCAAATGCTACTACCCCCTATAGGACAGATAGGAGTACTACATAGCTAATACTAAGCTAATAATTGGATCATTAGATAAAATAGACTTGTTGACATGATGAACTAATGTGAAAATCTCAATAAAATATTTTAATTTTAAAAGTTTTATTCACTTGTGAATGAGACCAAATCGTATTTAAACCTTGTATAAGTAACTGTACAAACCTTCTTGCAAAATTTCAAAATGACATCTTCTTTCCTCATTTCAATGCTTCTTTATTCAAACTGCTTTTATCATATTGGTGACTTCAATGGTCTTCGCCATTTATTAGGCATTTGCTGTCATGGAAATGACCTTTGTTAATGAATCTTTGAATTTTGGTTGACAATGTTTTTGTGTGATCTCTCCATAATATATGCCTCCAGTCGCTTGGCTGACATAATCCATTGAGGCCACACATAAAACAGTGTGCCATCTGCACCTGGAGCATGGCTATCAGCTCAGTGTTTTTTTTTCTCCCTCACTCTTTTGCTTGAGCTCTTTCCTGCCTGTGTGTAGCCTGACCCTGCTCTTCCCATTCCAGGCTACAGAAGCCAAACCAAAGGCAGCTTTCAAGGGGGACTGTCTGCTCAAATCAAGTCAGAGGCCTTTTTAGAATCGGTTCAGAGATCATAGCAAGTATAAGTCAGGGAAGAGGATGACCCTCTCCTCGAGGCCTGATCGGATCTTGGCTCAGTCAAACCCAGCAGGGCTCAGCCTCTGGACAGCTCTGTCTCTGCAGGCTTTGACTCTGTGATAGTGCGAATGAAAGAGGGCACCAAGAGAGCAGCAGTTCTGATGTGTCAGGCTCAATGTCCTGGCAGTCTCACAGAGCAAAGTGGGCAAAGAGAAGGACACAGCCAGCAGGCACAGGGCCAGAACGAGACCCCTATATTGTGTGACATGTCATCTAATGGCTGTCCTTTTGTTTTAAATTTATGCATCTGAGATAAGTTGGGGCAGTGACATGGGTCACAATGTACAAGAAAAATAAACAAATGTAAGCAGGCTCTTAAATAGCACAAAAACAGTGAAATTGTGTATTGCTAGCAGATAGAAACCTAATTATGAATTGATATTAGTACCATTAGCATCTGTTGATTTATCATAAGCCACTCTCATCTACATCTACATGTGTTCACACTCTATAGGTCCAGGTGTTCAACATTTTCTCAAAGTAAACTGCGAAAATTATAGTATTATGCTTCTTTTGCAAAAGAAAACCAAACCATGTCAGAAAACTTGAATTCTACTCACTGTAAACATGGCTACATATTGGGATAGAGAGCGCTCGTTGTGTCTTGT